GTGAAAACCATCATGATCAACGTGTCAGTTGCATGTATACGTTACACGTACACAAATGAATTTAAATAGAATATTGTTGAAAACATCCTTTTAAAACATATTATTTGATTATTGATAGCCAATAAAAGCCAATAATTCTGGTCAAAAACTCAAGCTTTTCAGAAGGTAACCTTAAAAACATTAGGTTCTTTAATTCTCCGAACTCTTTTCACCTCGACAGATGCTTTCATCTTTGATTTTTCAATCTCAATGTTTCCGCATTTAAAGGGAAAGATCCTGACATTAACTTTTCCATTCACAAGAATTGAAAATTATTTAGCAGTGGAAAAATCAGAAAGCGAGCTGACGCCATTTCTAAAGTTAACGAGAGTAAATTAAGTGTGGAAACAAGGTGTTGATAACTTTTATGAGGAACATTCAGTCTAAACGTCCCTCAACGTCTTTTGAACTAAATATCTCTCATCTGTGTGTTTGGGAGCAGGAAATACGCTGTTAATACAAAAAACTGAAACAAAGGCAAACATGTTGTTATACTATTATGTTATTATTTAGTAGCTAAATATAAAATTTAGTTCACCTTAACGGGCAAAGCGGTGTAGGTATTTCAAATCTTGTCTAATAGCCACATTTTCTTGATGTGCGTGTAATTAGAAAATTAAATTGCTTCTTGATATATTGATTTATTCCTTTCTAAATAGTCTACTTTACTTTTTAATTGAAGAATTGCTGTCTCGACCATGGAAATGTTATGATAAATCAATAATGCATCAGCAAAAGTTCAGAATGATGGAGGAATATGGGCAGAAAAATCCAAGAAAAGTTAAACTTGTAAATGGTGTATGGGTTATTTGTTCTGAAGAGTTTTTGCTTGGTAAAGGAAGTGATGGAACTCGTGTTTACCTTGGACTCGGAAAAGATGGTTACGGAAAAGCTGTAAAACGATTGCTTCGAGATAGCTGCACGGAGTTAGCCAAACGAGAAAAAGATATTTTGAATGAGTTGAATGCAAAGCGTTCAAATTATGTTGTGAATTATTGGTATCTTGAAGAAGAACCAGGCACAGATTATTTGTATTTGATATTAGATTTGTGTGAAGAATCGTTAGAGAGTTATGTGAAATCTTCTACTTTGCAAGATCTTCAAAAGCACTTCCTAAATTCTTATTCAGATTTTAAAAGGTTTAGTTGATCTTCACAGTGGTCCGTGTCCTATTCTTCATCGGGATTTAAGACCATCAAACGTTCTTCGAGATGTGGATGGAAATTTTTTAATCGCTGACTTTGGTATAAGTCGAAAATTATTAAATGAAACTTCGACACATCGAAGCATACAAAGAGGAGCTAAAGGTTGGATAGCTCCAGAGTCATATGACGCATCAGATGATACAATTAATAAAGTTCGTTACAAAAAAGAGTCTGACATTATGGTAAGTTCATGAAGTAGAAATAGAGGTCCAACTACAGGTCAATGTTGTGTTTGCATTTGAATGTTGTATTTGGTAGGGATATCATTATCACTGCCACTGATATCTTTATCACTTTTAAATAAAATTTTTGTTTACCTTAATTGTACAGTCATATAGTGGCGAAATACAAATTGTACTGTATAAAATATAAAAATATGTATATGTATGATAATGAATTGTTGTTATTGCCTTATTGTATGTCTCTCATTTAGATTGCTCTAAAAAATTTGTGGCTACGATTCTTAATTGGAGAACATTCTGATTTTTTTCGAACTGAACTTGTATTTTTTGCAACTAACAAATAAATTAACTCCATTTTTTATTGAAAATAGAATGCCGGAATGGTGGCTTATTATGTTGCAACAAAGGGGAAACATCCTTTTGGAATTGAACGGCATAGACTGGACAACATTTTAAAAGGAAACCCAGTTGGCTTGGACGAAATCAAGGATGCCACGCTCAAAGACCTTTTATCGTGGATGCTACAGCTAAGACCGGAAGACAGACCATTGGCCAACGAAGCGTTAAAACACCCTTATCTACAAACCGATAAGGAGAATTTCGATTTTCTGTGTGATGTTGGGAATGAACCAGAAATAAAGACATCATCTCCACATTCTCTTCCCTCAAATCTTCGTGAGCAGTTGAATCTTTCAATAGATTGGATGGACCGTATCGATCCTGAATTCTTTAATCATTTCAATAAAGTATCCGACTCTACATGGTTAGGTTGCCTAAGATTTTTACGAAACGTTCGCCAGCATTGGCATGATAAACCTCGTCCACAACTGTCATCATGTGTTAAAGATGGAAACTATCAAGAGTATTTTCTTCGACTTTTTAAGGAACTGCCTCTTTTAGTTCACAGAACCATAAGATTGAGTGAATGGAAGACAAGACCTGTTCTAAAGGAACATTTTCCAAGTAAGACACAGAAATGAGTTTTTATTTTCGATGGCCAAGCTATAAATTAGCGGTCTATGACACTATATTTGTTATTTTCACTCTAGTTCTCCTCTTCATTTATTGTACTTAATGCATGTATGTTTTGAATTCTGTATATTGCCGTTGCAAACATTTTTTTAGACAGTGCATATCCTGTAAAACTTGAAGAAGGCAAGGGAAAGAAAAGCGAAGCTGTTATTGATTACCCTGATCTTAACGGTAAATAGCTATGTAACAACAAACTAATGCTGTGTACGTGTCACTTTGTCATAGTTTTGCGCAATACATTGATTAATCTAGAGCGATAATACCATCTTGTTTCACCAGGGGCAGGAAACTCAAGGTTGTTTGATGTAAGAAAAGCTTTTCTTTTGGGCAAAGCATTGCTTGTAAATGTGCTAAATGCACCTATATTAATGAAAAAGATTTTAACAGGAGAAATTGATGAGGCTGACCGGCAAGGTTCAAACTAAGAGCTGCACAATGAACAAAATAGGCAAAAGGATACTCTTGTCGAACCAATGCTTGAACACCATTGATATGGCCAGACATGACAGAAGCACTATCATATGTTTGCAAAACCAATTTTTCTTTTATATTAGAACACTCACCAAGTTTATCTTTGACAACTTGTGATAATGCTGTGGCATTTTTGTTCATACTTACATCCACAAATCCTAATTGCCTCTCAATAATTTCACTTGCTTTGTCAAACCAAGCAATAACACTTAGCTGCTCTTTGGTGGACACATCAGATGCTTCATCAACCTGAATACTCATAAATGTGCAATCATTTATTTCCTTTCTGATTTCATCTTCAATAATTGAATCAAGACAGCTGATAAGATCATTTTGAATTTCTGGGGAGACTCCAGTAAATCTTCTGTCACCAATTATTTGCATTTTTGTCATTTCACAATCATGACAACGAAATCAAATATGCTACAACTTGACAAGTATTTGATGTAGTTCTTGTTCAGAAGACCACAAAACTCTCAAAGGTTCTCACAATTTGTATACAATATTTTTTTTCATTATTCATTTACGAAACGCGAGATGCATGTACAAAAACAAATCCTACAATTGTTGTGAAAAAGGCCATCACATGAAAAAAGGAAAAACTAATGAGAATAAATGAGCTAACATTTCTCTCGTGATCCGTTGAGATAAAATTTGATACATTTTATTTCGTGCAGACTACAAACTTTGATCGAGCAAATCATTAAACGACAGTTACGACGCGCACATCTGCATTCATATGTTTCCAACAAATAGCTCGTTCGTCAATAGTTAAAAAAGGCATCCGTCGTAGAAGCCGACAACTGGCAACCACAGTAGACTCGCTTTTATGAAATTTATGTTTTTAAAGTGATTTTCATCATAAAATTGCTTGCTAAATATGCCAAAAACACATGCTTTTTCCTCACTCTTTCTCAAGGGGGGAAAGAAAAATTGAGCAAAATTCGGAAAAGCAGTCAATTTCGGTAAATCTCAGCGGTAATGGAACAAATCCATTTTTTTGGCGTCAGCCGCTAATTAAAGCCCAGTGAACTCAATATTTAATGTCTAAGAGTTACACGCAGTTATGTACATCAAGATATTTTCCATGATTATTCTAAGAATGCCTCACTCGAGGTGTCTGAGAGTGAGGGATTATTTTCTGCTGCTTTCATCAAGAAATAATCACATAACCTTAAACAATTTTAGTCAACCCAAATATAGAGTAAAATTTTGATAAGTTGTCTTAGTATCAATTATCAATTTTCTCAAATGTGGTAAGAAAAAAGTGCGCACGGGAATTTTCAACTTTTATTTCTCCTAAACAGACTTTTATTTCTCCTAAGACAAAAAGGAAAAACTTTACTTTGGGATGTGCATGAATCAGGAAAAAATTTACTTTTTGCATATTCATCTATGTCATCAGCAAACAACATCATGCATACAATTTTATAAATCGCTCAGCTTTAAAGTGACGCATCAAATTTAATAATGGGTAATTTTTTAAGATTTCGATGGAGCCCCCGCAATTATTGTCATGGGAGGAGTCTATAGCAACCGTATTAAAGAACATATCAGTAATGAATACCTTGAAAAACTGAAAGAATCAGCCAGAGGGATATGCAGTCTTAACGGTAAGTAAGTCGTTTTAAAAATTTTGCCAGAAATTTTATTAACTGCGTTTAACATTATGATTATTTTTATCGCTTCAGAATGGTGGCACTGCTGTTGATGCTGTTGAAAAGGCAGTTAGTATTTTAGAGAGCAGTGACTTATTAATGATAGGTCGTGGATCTCCATTGAACAGTGAAGGAGAAGTTGAATGTGATGCAATGATTATGGATGGACACACTTTAAAAACAGGTTAAAATCCATTTGTGATACTTTAACTTTGAATTTTTTTGATAACAAATAAAACCAGAATGTATTTCCCGCTGCATCTTCATTAGAAATTGGCAAACATGATACATGGTGTTTACATTTTGTACGAAGCAAATCGCATGATGTCACTCGAGAATAAACTTGGTACTCTTAAAATTGTGAGTAATCAGTGTAAAAAGCTTTTTAATTCTTTTCTGTTTACTGTAGGTGCTGTAATTTCTGGTCGAAATTTCAAAAATCCAGTTTGTCTTGCTCGAAAAATAATGGAAAAAACACCACAATGTGCTCTTTATGGTGATAGTGCTCTTTATGGTGATAGTGCTCTTTATGGTGATAGTGCTCTGAGATTTGCTCAGCATCATGGATTGGATTGGTGCGAACCGAATGAATTGTTAAATGGACAGAGATGTCTTCCACATAAATATCACAAGGCTTATGTGAGATATTTTATGGAGGGAGGACTTTTCCTGCTGATGCGCCTGAAATTAGACCTGAAGAAGTTGACACTTGCGATTGTGCATGTGCTGTTGCGATTGATAGAGATGGCAAGTGGCATGTGCAACGTCAACAGGTAATGACTAAATATACAGGTCGTATTTATATAATAAAAAATCATACATGAATTCAGTTCTACATCACCTACATGTCATCATATTCATAATTAATCATTATTTTAGGAGGTATGGCCGGCAAACTTAAAGGTCGTGTTAGTGACACTGCATTAGTTGGTTGTGGTGGATATGCAAATGATAAAAAGCAGCTGCAGCAACTGGTCATGGAGAGAAATTGATAAAATTGAACTTTGCAAGACAAGTTGTATTTGACATGGAAGCAGGAACTGCCCAAGTAATGCAAAATATTCAAATTTTTTTTCATTGTTTCTAACATTTCTATTACAGTGTTCAAAGTCTGGTCAACTGCTGTTGTTTTTTGATATCGTGATAAAACACTGTCCAATAAGAAATTTATAAAATTAAATTTCAACAATACAATTTTAACCTTTTTCCCTTTTTTGTTTTAACTTTTGTTTATTTTTTTCATAAAAGAGAGCTGTACAGAGTGCTGTGAATTTAGTTCAAGAAAGACTTGACGGACGCGCAGGAGGAATTGCCATTGACAGACATGGAAATATTGGAAAGGCATTTAAAAATGACCTCATGCCTTGGGTTAGCATCAAAAATGATGAAATGAAATTGGGGTTGAAAAGGGATGAAGAAGGAAACTATCCTTTTGAATTTATTGTAAACAATGGCGTTGTATAGTGTATGATTTATATATGAAAATGAAAATTTACAAAAAAATTAGGAAAAGAATATTTTATCCTTTAAGTACTGGGATAATTGATACTATTATCTTTAGTTTAATTCAATAAAAAAGAAAATGTATAAAATTGAAGGTATAAATAGCTATGTAAACCATAAAATCGATACCTTTGGTTTTTCTTTCATATTTCGTGAGTAATCATTCTGAGTTTCATTCATCACGATGATATCAAACTTACAATGGATGATAAAAGGTTTGAAAATAATAATTAGAACTTTCGCTTAGCAAGACTCGCGTTAAAAAATACCATGAATTAAATTGACAGTTTTTATTCAACGTAATACCTTAATTTTGAAAGTCATTCATACCTTTGATCCATAATGTTGAAGTTTGATATTTTGACCATTTTTTGACAAACTCTAAAAATTATTACATTAGATGTAAACGATAAATTTACCTGCAAATTAATGCGACAACAAATTACCTGTACAAAGACCTTTTTCTCATTTATTGTTGCTTCTACAAGATTTGATGCAAGGTTAGACGAGGAATGGAATTTCACAAAAGTTCCGTCGATATTCATCTGACATTTAAAGAACAAAAACATACATAAGACTAAAAATTTTCTTAAGACTAGAAGTGCACAAATAAGAAATTCATTCGTGACATAAATCATAAAATGCACCTTGGAAGAAAACGTACCAGATAACTATCGACATTTCGATCAACGTTCACTTTGTATTTCTCATCATTTACCAGCACAAAAAGCGTCCACCTGCTTTTGTCCTGATAAATGGAAAGTTGTAGGATATGGCAAAATGGTCGAAAATAAACTTTTGAAACATAAAATACACGATAAAACATGAAAGTTGGTTTAAATTATTTTTAGAATTTTATGTTGTTCTTCATATAAACTATAATGGATACCTTGTATGATTCAAAAAGTGTTTCTGTCTATTTTCACGAAGTATGAACAAATAACAAGCTGTGGCTGTCAATTCGTTCACTTCCTCTCTGTTCAGCTGTTTTCCTGAAAAAAGTAAAACATACCTTTTTTTTATGGCTAACGTATTGTTCACTGTGAGCTCAATATTTAAATAACTGGAATGATAACTGAAGCCAAAAATTGAAGCCTAAAAAATATTTGTCTTCATCATTCGTCATCACTCGTGTTTCTCGTGTGTTTATAAACAATTTGTATTTTTTCGGATCCTAGATCTTAAGTTTGACCTCAGGTGATTTCATTTTACTAGTCATTTTTATCTTCACGAAGAAAATCTTTTGAATTATATTTATTTCAATTCTACATCATCCTCAGTGCAAAAGTATTATTACGTTGATCTGCTCTTAAGCTGCGGTTTTTCTTTAAAACATATCAAAGTCTTTAAGGATATTCAATTATTGATATCGAGATGAAAACCATTTAGTATTTTAAGCACTATCAAATTGACGAAAATAACAATCGCTCTGTAAAAAGTAAAAATGCGAGTTATAGACACAATATTTTTTATAAAACTGGATATTCAAGTTTCTTTTTTCTTCGAAAAAACAGATCTTTAAATCCGCTGAAATGACAAAAAAAGGCAAACACTGTCTGACACCGTTTGAAAATTTACATTCCAATGTAAGAAAAATTTTTGCTTGAATATTTTTTTGTCATATTTTCTTATTGTATTGTCTTTTTAGCATACAGTGTAATTTTCAGTTGGCTTTTCCTCGTTACAAGTTTTAAGTTACAGCGAACTCACTGTAGTAAAGTTTCAGCTGAAAAAAAACCTTTTGCGAAGAGTTGGCCTCGTAGGCCTGAAAAAAAGAGACTTCAACGGTCCATTTTTTCTCAAACTATTTTGTCGAGATACGGGACAGTCTTATGGTGGTTTATCCGGGAGAAGACTACGAACATATTCTATTGCTAGTCTTGTTTTCAACTTGCAATGACTGTTGGGGTTGGTCGTCTAAAGAAAACAAAACAGAAATGTTATTTTGTAGTTAGCAATCGGGTTTGTCGTTTGTTTTTAACTTTTCTTTGTACACTACACTTAAATGTGTAATCAAGCATCTATCATCAATCATCAATAACCAATGATTGATTATCGTTTTCTGAGACAAACCGTGATCGACCTGTCATTCTTAATACTGAAGAGTATCGTAGTGTAAATGAAAATACATGCTCACTTTTTTTATCATATGTTTGTTTGGTCGTACATTGTTTCGTGAATGCTTTAGTTTAACATTAAATGGAAGATCATGTAGACCAGTTTTTGTCACCCATTGTGTTTTTGATGGCTCAGCTATGATCCTCTCTTTTCTCGCGTCAATGCAAAGGTATTTACTGTGTTGCTGGAAAGAAGTAGAAAATTATTCTTTAATATATGTTTTCTTAAAACTCCACGAGAACATAGTCAAATCTATTATATAACATTAGGATAAAGTAAATACTTTACAATGCCAGACTGCGAGTTTCAGTTTGGTGGAAAAGCAACTGATAAAATAAAGTGACATGCACTTTGTTGTTAATGATAAGTTAAAAAAGATTTCATACAGCAATAGAATCAAGTTGTCAGCAATACCTGATAATGAAATGGACTTTACAAATAATGTTTGTATTCATGTTCATTTCATACTTTGATACTTCCATAATCATTTGTTACAATAAGTTGGTATAAAAATGAATGCATCAAAAATTCTTTATTTTTTACGGAAATTCACTCTCTATTTTTCTTTCCTTTTCATAAACACAAACATGCTAGTAATAAAATAACACAGAGGTTTTTAGTTTCGTTGGTCAACTAAGTTGATATTTTGGTTTCCAGAGAAACGAAAGACCTTCTCGATCCGTTCGTAGCGAGGAGAATGAGACTTATTTATTAAACTCAGGATTTGAACAAAGTTATTTTCCAGAATGCAGTCTATATTTAAGGTTTTAGAATTTTGTAGAGTCCGGAGACTCTGTAGCATATTCATAAAAAACTGAAAGAAGTCACGGTCCATTCCTATCTCGAAATACGTTTTTCTAAACAAAATTAAAATCGACTTAAACAGAGCATCTCTCCTTGTACCTAGTGCATGGTATTTTATAACTGTTTGGGACTCCTACAATTTATTGACCTGTTATCAATTAGGATCATGGGATTGAGACGAAAATCTTCACGACCATAATTAAAGATAAGTTAGGTAAGCCAGCTGGTAAAGGCCGTTGAGTCTTCAGTGGTCTGGGGACAAGTAAGATGATTACATGAATCTTAATTTTTTTTAAAAGGAAACATCGCTTTTAAATGTTGGTTAAATGTTAGCAATAATATAAATAAATATTTACGAAATGAACTTACATGAAAATAGTTTTATAACCATTAAGCTAGTTAAGTAAAGGAGAAATACATTTTTATAGGTTTTATTATCTGTGGATTTTACAATGATTCACAGTTTGTTTATCATCAACCATTCAGGGTGAGTCGGTAGTGACAGTATGTATTGGTTTTATATTTGTTTGCTTTCAAAGCTCTTCTCTTGGTTTTGTACGTATAATATAAATAAAATTAATAAATATTTACGAAATGAACTCACATGAAATTAGTATTGTAATCATCAAAGTTAGTTAAGTAAACGAGAAATATATTATTATGGGTTTAGTATATGTAGATATCACAATGATTTACAGTTTGTTTATCATCAACGCTTCAATGTGAGTAGATATGAGATATATGATGGATATATATGGGTTAATGTTTTTTATAAATCAAATTTCCTCTCTAGGCCCTTGTTGGTTTGTTAGTTTACACCGATCATTTATGCAGTTTAGGAACTTGTGTTTGATTGCTGTGGATGGCAGACGTTTGTGGCTGTTCAAAAGACATCAGGCCATGGAAAAATAATAAGTTTTATTATTGACTGAAGAAAGTAACTGGGGACAAGTAAGATGAATGTTTTGAATTTTTTTAAATGGAAACATCTTTATTAAGTGTTAGCAAAAATATAAATATTTACAAAATGAACTTAAATGAAAATAGTTTTATGCAGGTATTGGTTAATGGTTATAGATAAAATTTCCCCTTCAGGCTCTTTTATTGGTTTTGTGCATATTAGCTTGTAATTATTCAAGTATGTAATTTATAATTAAATTTGAATGAGATATAGTGAGATAAGTTGCAGTAAAATATTAAATGAAAGCTTGAACAAGGGCTACAAAGTGAAGGCTTATTTTTATTTGTGGTATCACCTGACATGACTAATGCAATTATACTAAAATAAAATGAAAAATGCCATGGCATTAAATAGTCCAGTAAATGAATGTCCGAGGTTAGACAAAAATGATGTCATGGGTAATTGTGGGATATATTTCTGGAAAAACATCGGAGAAGTGTTTTAGGATTTGTTTGTGATTATTTCTTCGAAGCTCAAGGAAAAGTGAATGAATTTATGTGTAAATTGTTGGTGATTGATATGAAGGTATCAAGCACTGGTGATATGTTGAAAATGAAGACTTATTTAGTTGAGAAATTTTAATCATTTATTATGTGCTATTCTTTTGTTTACCAGTAATTATATCAAACTTTATTAAATCAAGTATTTGCTTATTTAATTTCAGGCCTTTTCTCCTGAAGACATTCCTCTGTTGTGAAAAAATACTTTGGAAAAATTTGCACCCTTGCTGGCCAAAATCGGCCAAAGATCATATTTTCACGTAAAGGTGCATCTGAGTTTTGTATTATTGAAAAGAGAATTCCTTACATAAGTTCACCTAAAGCTATTTCTTACTAATAGTTTTCATTAACACATTATTTTGTTATTCAATCAAAAAACACCTCTACTATCTGCAAATGGGCTCCGAAAAGTATATAATTGTTGGATTCCGTTATTATTATGCTAAATTCATGCGTATTTTTCATAATTTGGACACAGTCACTGAATGAAAATGTATCTGCAATGAGTATTTTTAATGTTTGTTTACAATTACTCATTACTGTCTATCTAGTTTGCACTAATATTGAGCTGTACAATTTTCTGGGAGAGGTCTCACTGGTCTGTTTGCAACATTGAAGGTGAGTTATTTTACTTGTCCGAGAAATTAGGCTATGCAAAACAAGAGAGTGGCAGACATCATGTCTGTGATGACACACTATGCACTGCCTTTTTATCATATTTCTTATTTACAAAAAGTTTAAAGCTTTTTTCAATCCCCCACAAATAATAACAATTTTGTTGTTAGTATCAGGAGTTCAAAGTATCATGATAAAACAAGTTGTGAATCAATGAATTCAATGTTTCAAAATAGTAATATTGTTTAAACAGAATTTAAATACCAGGTCTTGAAGCATAGATAAATGGGATCAAACATAACTCATATTTCATCGCAATTGCTGGATGGTCTCATAACAATTGTGAACTGTTAAATTTATGCACACTAGAAAATTCTTATCCTGTGTTAAAGTGACTGCAACTCCACTTGTTTCAATCTTTTTGCGTCTCCTGTTTTACAGGCTTCCCACGTGTACGCATGCGTACCTATTTTTGTTAATGCATTTTGTCAAATTCACAGAATGTCCGAAGTTTTTTCATGAGCAGTTGCAAGGTCAACAAAATGGTGACAGAAACGATAAAGTAAGGATTTTTTCTTGCTGCCCAAGCCATCATCCAGTATGATATAAAGAAGATTCCAGTTGAATAATTTAAGAAACAGTCCATTCATAAACAATTTGTGTTTTGCTATAGGTAGATTTACGCAAGATTTATTGAAATTAATGTTTATTTGTAATAACTGTTTATTTGTAGACGATACTTTTTTCAAACACATTTCAACTTTACGATTGTGAGCATACTGAAATGCAGTCATTTACAAAATCTACTTTGAGAAATCTCCATAAAGCATGTTTTTCCACTATGATCTTTTGAATTTGAAATGTTACATTGTAAAAGAAATATTTATTTCTCTCAAGGTCACGAGCTGTAGAAGAAGGCATTCGTGCTGTCAGACGGAAGCAAAAACAGTGAAGAAGTGGAGGTTGTTGAAACTTTTAAAGGTGAGAGGATTTTTACAAACATAGTTGTGACATGTTTTTTACTGGATAAAAACTACACGTTGCTATTCTAGATTGCATTTGTGAATTCTTTCAATACCCTAATAACCATTTTAAGAACATTTCACGCGTCAGGCGTTTGATTCAATCGCCAATAGTTTGTATTGGGTTTTTCTATAAGATAGAAAGTTAGTCTCTTGGCGATTAAATCGAACTTCCAATGCCTGAATGAAAAGTTCTTAACATTTTGTTATTACCTTTATACAAAACAAAGGACTTCAAAAATTCAATTTAGTTTTTTTGAGCGTAACAGTCTTTAATTCCATGTACAAATCCCCAATTTCTGTTTTTAACACATATCTTTCAGTTTCATATTAGTTACAGTTAACAAAAAATAATTTTGAACATTTACCAGGAAAAATTCGATTAGAATGATAATTTATATTTGTAATAGATAATAATGATCATAATAATAAACAATTAACAGATTATTTATTAATTAGTAAACTTGTAAAACAGCCCATAGTATATTGAAATAAACCTTGCCAACACAATTAGAATGATAATAGGAAAATAAAAATAGACAAATTCTCGGTATCGCTAGTATGGAATGAACAAAGATCTTTTTCTTGTTATTTTAAATAGTTGCATCTTAAATAGTTATGCAATGAAGTGTGTCATTGACACGCGTAATATCATTTACCATTTGAACATTTACCAGGAAGAATTCGATTAGAATGATAATATGAAAATAAAAATAGACAAATTCTCGGTATCGCTAGTATCGAATGAACAAAGATCTTTTTCTTGTTATTTTAAATAGTTGCATCTTAAATAGTTATGCAATGAAGTGTGTCATTGACACGCGTAATATCATTTACCATTTGAACATTTACCAGGAAGAATTTGATTAGAATGATAATAGGAAAATAAAAATAGACAAATTCTCGGTATCGCTAGTATCGAATGAACAAAGATCTTTTTCTTGTTATTTTAAATAGTTGCATCTTAAATAGTTATGCAATCAAGTGTGTCATTGACACGCGCAATATCACATTTTTCAATGAATTCTTGCATTTTACATGAACGGACTATTCTAAATTCTAATACTGTATATCTTACATGCCAATATCCTTAAGGTTTGTTTCTTCTCATTAGGTGTTGCATGGTAGCGCCTTGTTTGATTCGGTTGTCCAAATTTAGAATCTCCTGTGTTTTTTTTTAAATCTAGTCGACTGCAATCAATTGTTAATCACAAACATTAAACAGTTATACTATAAAACGTTCCGTTTGCTGTGATTACAATAAGCGGATTGTGTTTTGATTTATGCATTTAGATTTCTTGGTAGAGATTTGTACGGAGTAACTTCCAATTTCGTTCACATTGACAAATAGCCCATTGCCTCACTGAGTTTAAAGGTGTCCCTGATTGTGATAGCTTCATCATAATTGGTGAAAGTAAACCATTGAACTTAATTTTTTTTAAATCAAGCGTATAAAGATGAAACTTGACAATAGTAGTCTTTTCTATACCTTGTTATAGCTACGTTGTTGCTGTGACAAATTTTTTGTGATTTTGTTGTTTTGTTGGGTAATCATAATTTTTAGAATCTCTGAATAATAAGCTTTCCCCTAAGATGTAGTTACTTTGCTACATCTTTGGGACGGGGCGGGTGGCTGAATGGTTAATTGCGTGAGCTGTAAGCCAGACGGCGCGGGCTCAATCCCGGCTCGTGGCACATCTGGCAATGTGTCTGTAAGCCTAGCCCGGGTTGACCAAAGCCATTGAAATTGGTAGAGGAAACTATGTCCTCGGATGGACTGTATCTGCATCTGCAATGTTGCAGCCTTGTCACACTGTGTGTCACGCTGATATCAGCGTTGTAGTTGCGTGAAAGGTACGAGTGATTGTAGTCTGGTCAGCTGCCTTCACTATAATTTAAGTAACCAGGATGTTCCACTTTGTGGAACCCTCATACGTCGAAATCGACGGAGTCCAGTCCATTATTGTGATAAATATTTTTGTTTCGACAATAATTTGTAAAAAAAAACACCCTTATTTGGCGTGCATCAAATGATTATCGTAGATTTTTGACGATTAACTTCATACAGTTGGATGTTTTAAAACATTGATACAAGTAACGTTTAACAAGGATGAGTACGATTTCTGAAAATTTCTTCCTGCTTATGTTTCATTTTTATAAATTTTCATCTATGTTAAGGCTAATAATCACGGAAAGTTGCTTTGTTGACGTACGGCGTTGAAGTTTATGATGTTATATGTAATTTAAACGCCTTAATGATTGAATATTAAAACTGTGCAAGAATTCTATTTTAATCTTTTCATTTCAACGAGTGAGAAAGACGAAGATTTGATAAATATGTACTTATGATTGCAGAATTTCCTAAGTTCGATGTATTTACCTTGGATAATACAGAATTTATAGAGTTGCCTTCAACGAATGAAAAGTTACTTCATGGATGACGGTAAGTTATATACAATCAAATTTATGCGAGACCCACGTAAATTGTGTGTAAGCTATACATGCAAATATATGGATATATTTACCAACATTTTATCGTAGAACATACATACACTTTATTGATCTTTTTATCTCGATAATTGTCGTCTAGAGATTTTATGTCTTTATGCACCAACTATAGATATATCTTTAAGGTTTTTTCTGAGTCGAATTTTATTGACTAAAATACTGTCACACGTTTGGTGACTTTTCAATTGACAGAACGTTACGAATCTAAAGGTGAAAGAACGGAATATTACCCCGACTATGAAAGTAAGTTATACTATCAAATTTATGTATAAGGCACTTATAAATTGTATCTTTCATACGTAGTGATATACTTTCTAACATTCAACATATACTCCTTGATTATGCTTTTCCTTGTTATCTCGTCATCTCAGGATATTTTACGTCTCCTTGCGCCCAATATTTTTAAGCATTTTCGATTCAAAATCCCTTCATGAGATTGTTTGTTAAGATAATAATAATATCCATAATAACTATAAAAATAGCTTAAGAAGCATTTGTGCAATCTGAACGATTTTCCAAAGCTATAATTCACAAAGTTTAGGTGTTGAACAACACAAAATAAGTCAGTTTTAAGTTAATGTCGTCACCAAAAAAGAGCTTTTGACAATTCAGATGAACCTTCGGCATACAAGTTTCAGGCACCGCGGAGGATCGATAATTGGGGTCATATTCATATATTCATGTTATAATCCTTAGAAAACAATGGATTTCAAAAGATTTTAAGCCTGCATATATGAATATATGAATATTAGCCCCCCCCCCTCCAATTATCGATCCTCCGCGATGCCTGTTTATTATATGTTCCTTGTCATTTTGAGTAAAAACGCGACAAAGTGTTGGATGTGAATAGATCAAAATATTGTATCCTTCTGATTACAAATTGTATTACAATGCGAAATAATATTGGTCAATTTTGGTTAATATCAACAGAAATAGATCCGTCCGCCATTTTTTCTGATCCGTTCCGCCGTTCAGTGGTTTTATTTGTTTGAATTTTGTTTCCTGAAATAAATTTAGAGGAGTTTGTAAAGATGCGTTCTGGCGGCCCCCATATGCCTTCTGGTAGTGGTGTCTCCCCTTAAATCATTCGTGGGGTATTTCCCCCTGGCTGTACCCCAGCCACAACGCCAATGGTTCGGTGTTTCATAGATATACATAGGATTGATACATAGGCGTAGGAACAGATTTGAGTTTGGGGGTGGGGTTAACGTCGACTAGTTTAGTAAATACTCCACCCTTATATTTTGAAGCTTTAGGGAGTCTAGTACAAACATTGAAAATGGAGAAAGTCATGAAACCTTTATATTTTAGTTGTACTTCATTACAATACACAAAGTGCAAGTATTGTTCAAAAATCAATACATTGCACAAGACGAGCCTAAACGATTGGTCGTACTATTTGCAAGCTACGAATTCTAGTTCAATGTCAGACTAAGATGTTTTCACTCTCTGAAGAGTTAAAAATGGACCTTTGTTGTATGCATTAAATGGGTACAAAGAAGTTTATGAGCTTTACTACACATACAAGGACGTACGTTCTCATAATGTCGCTTATCGTGCTAATTCAAGTGATATCCATAATTCGCATTTGATCTTAGCATAAATTTTGCTCGTTTGCGGTCTTTACGAAATCTGACAGTATTGATATTCTTATCCTTCTTAAGTCAATTTCTACTTCGTTCTTGAACTTTCTGTAGTCTGTGTGATGGGTACATAACATAAAACCCCTATATGCACCTATCACAAGTTCAATATTTGCCTATGATCAAACTTTATTTGTCAAACCTGAGCTCCAGTTTATATCAAATACTGCTATCCGCGTGCAACACTGCATACTTTTTTAAAAAAGGCATTGATCTCTGCAGTTCTGACAGTAAAACCTAGTCTCGCTCAAAGATTTCATGTTAGATTAAAGTGAGCCACTTCAGCCATTAGTCAACCTAAAGGACAAGATTGAGCTACACAATATACCAATACAGCCTTCGTCTCTTCTCTTTGAATTGTCTCAAGTAACTGCATTCAGATGTCGAGTTATATAGGTATTTGCTGCCCCATCATGTGCTTGTTTATGACTGTTCAAATCAGGGGAAGGTTACCGCGAATAAGGATGTACACAGTATTTTATCAAAAGTTCCCAAAAACGTGTTCATTTTGAAGTATTTTGGCATTGTCTGGTGTATCTATATAAATAATAAAACAGTAAAATTGCCAGAACGGTCATTTTATACACGTTGCGTGCAATACACAACAGAATTTAAACTTCCAACTTTTCGAGTTGAATTAGATTTTTAATTTCTCATTTTCTTTGCGCAAGCGGTTGCAAACTGCTCTCCCGCTTTTAAGATTAATTTTTTGCTTTTAGATAAACCAGGCGATGCGAAAATACTTAGACGTGCCACATTTTGAGAAATTTTGATATAAAGATAATGTTCTTGTCATTTAAAAATGTTCTAATTTTTTTTGTACACCTTGTGAATTGTTGATATCTTACAGTTAATGGTTGTCTGCTCTCTAATTAAACATCTTACACATCTATGAGGCGCCAAATGTGCTTTTATTATTTAAGTACATTATCGCATTATTTATCATGATTTATTTAATTATATATGATAATTGCATTAGTGGTTTAGTAGTTTGCTCATTTCAAATAACTATTTTTGAATCCTGAATCCTTGCGTGATGGTCGTTACAAGAAAGAGTCTGATATAATGGTAGATATGTTCGTTAAAAAATACATAGCTATTGTTCAATTCTGCAAATAACGAATAAACTCAATTTTTTAGCATTTCAGTATCTACAGTTGATGTTGTGACTATTAATGGGGTTTTTTATTAATATTAGAGTGCAGGAATGGTGGCTTATTATGTTGCAACAAAAGTGGAACATGCTTTTGGAACTAAAGAGAGTATATTAAAAAACTTGTTAAATGGAAACCCTGTTGGCTTGAAGAAAATCGATGATGTTCAACTTAAAGATCTTCTCTCATGGATGCTACAGCATAAGCCTGAACTCAGGCCATCAGCCAACGAGGCGTTAAAACATCCTTATTTACAATCCAATGAGGAAAGTTTTGACATGCTGTGTGATGTTGGGAACCAACCGGAGATAAAGCAACCACAATATCAAAATTCAGATGTTCGTGAGCAGTTGACTTATCGCACAACATGGATGAAACGTATCGATGACGAAGTTTTGAAAGATTTAAAAACATTTTAAGTAAAAAACAAAGAAAGAACTGTAACATACCAGTCTTCGTGGGCAAGTTGTTTGAGATTCATACCTAACGTTGATCATCACTGGCATGATAAACCTCGTCCACGTCTATCGCCATTTATCAAGGAAGGCAACGATAAAGATTATTTCATTCAACGTTTTCCCGACTTCTTTTTATAGTGCACAAAATTATTAGAACGACTAACTGGAAAGCAAGACCTAAAACATTTTATCTGTAAGCTATTCAAATAATACCCCATTTTTACGACTTAGACATGTTAGAGTTCCATGCATACTAACATACTTCTCTGTCACATTGAACTTTTATTTCTACTCTTTAAGATGTATGTTTTAAGCATTGTGTAAATGTTTCCAACCTTCTCAACGTTAAGTAAAATTAAGTTCTATATTTTCCCGTTGCAAACGTTTTTAGAAAACATAAATCCTGTGAAAATTGAAGTAAGTCAATGGAAAGAAAAGTGAAGATATTATTGACAACCGTAATCTTGATGGAAAATGAAGTATAACAAACTCTTAACTAATCATGTGCCACTTTCTAATTGTTAATTTGAGCAACGACCAAGAAATTGGTTCATAAAGTCATATCAAGGATTACTTGCATGTATAGTCACTGAAGAATGGATTATTAATAAACTTAAATTCGATCATATATGTATGTAAAGGTCTTAATTGATGTAGGGCGTGAATGCATGAAAAGTAATTACGGAAATGTGTGTATTAATTATAGTCGTAGAGCATCTTGCAAATAGATATAATGTTTGTTTTATACTTCGTCATAAAAGTTGAATATGTTAAGAACATGTACATCTTTCTATTTCAAGCTGGAGAAAAGTATTAAAGCGAATCGTATAGGGTAACCGTAAGTATGTTTACAAAAGTTAAGGCGTTTTAAAGAAAATTCTTATGCTCCACTGTTATTTGGTTATCACAACATGACCGTACACTAAACATGCTTCCTCTGGGTCTTCTGATGTCTTTCACGTATATTAAGGATATATTTCTGGAAAAAGATTGGAGAAGTGTTTTAGGTCGCTCGGTTTGTGATTATTTCTTTGAAGCTCAAGGAAAGGTGAATGAGTTTATGTGTAAATTGTTGGTGATTGACAATTGTTTGTTGGTGCTTGTTTGGTTGAGAAGTTTAAAGTTACTCTAATGAACAGTTGCTATTATAGATTCGTCTCACAAAAGTGCATCTACGCAGATCAATTCAACTATCGTCGTTGATTTTAAGGTCACGAAGACATTCCTCTAGTAATTTCAACAGGATTTGGTAATCTGTCATGATCTCTGATTTTGATTGCAAGAATACAGCATATATTGCAAGGAAATGTTATCATTCAAAGTTTCCAGAAACTGTTTTATTTCCTTTGATTTAACTTAATTTTGTATTCATGCAGGCTTTATGAATGTCATCTCAAAATCTTCGTCTTACTTAAAATGCTGTTACATGTTACATTTTTCATGTTGCATGAGGCATTGTATCATATCTACAGTGAACATTACAAGAAATGTATATTTGTTCTAGATTTGACAACGATTCTATTGATTATTTCCAAAATTGCTTGTAACTTGCGACTTGTATCGTGAGCGTTTTGATTTGGAGACTTTCTATATGTAATCTCCCCATTGGATCTATCTTTTCTCACTGCCTCGTTCTTTGATTTCTGCCTGTCTCGACACTACTCGACCTAAACCATCATAAACAAAATTAAATTCATAGCCGCGTAAAATACCTTTTTGTAACAGCTGTTTTAATAATGGTTTTTCAAAACAGGAAGCGTCACAAATAGCACCTGCTATGACAGCGCCTTTTTGTTAAAATGCTGCACTTTTCTCTCCACAGGATCTTAGTTCTTATGTGACGACTGATTCCTTATTTATCTGCTAAAGACTGCTTCTCACAGAGATAGACGTCTTCAGATACTGTTTTCATAAGTTGTTGAAACATGTCTAAAATTTGATCAAATTGTTTTTGAAACGACGCATCGATTTTTAAGACTGACATAAAGAGAGAAAACTGCGTGTCAGTTTTCAATTTAAATACTAATGATTGAAATTTCTAAATAAACATGGCAATTTGTTAAACGTTTCTATTTCAGGGAATTTCATTGGTAGACGACGGTCGTCGTGGATTTACCTGCAAACGTTTGTTCATAATTCCTGACACTCGCTCATTTACATCATTTGGAAGGAAGACGTTTTACAACGAAGACAAATTTAAAATATAAGTTTTATCAATAACTATCGACTTAAGAAGAATTATAGGATATACAAAATACTCTAGTTTAACTTTAGAGACATGGGAAAAATATGAAATGCTCATGGTTTAGAATAAGTCTTTCTTATTTCCTCCGCCAAGTGTTTATTCGTTTTTTAATTTGATATGACAAAACAGACGATACATGAACAATTTTATTCATATGGCTTTGAATTGGTCATTGGAAATGTATTGCATTCCCATAATTTTCTTAAGACGAACATCGTCCATCAAAAAGGGCATTTTCACGACTTTAAACCGCCATAAAAATGGAATAATTTGATCAAATCAAAAACGATTTTACTGATACTCTAGAAATCGCACTTAAATTTTATATCGCCAATCAAATATAGAACTCAATGTATATGGCCCGTAGATGTAAAATTTGTTTATGTAGCACATAAAAATCTTAAAATCACATGTAAGCAGTGTCAAACATGAATAACCAGGCGTTGTGTATAGTATGATGTCGTTTTATATACAAACACGAAAAACACAATTATTTCTTAATTGATATAAATTATTTGAAAGAATCCAAACAATTCATTTTATATAAAGCTCTAAATCTACATGAGTGGTGTCTCAAACATGATGAGTATTGTATAGGGCCATTTGTGCTAAAGACGAGAGGCATAAATAACCAATTCAAGAAAACTACATGAGTGGTGTCTCAAACATGATGAGTATTGTATAGGGCCATTTGTGCTAAAGACAAGAGGCATAAATAACCAATTCAAGAAAACTACATGTGTGGTGTCTCAAACATGATGAGTATTGTATAGGACCATTTGTGCTAAAGACGAGAGACATAAATAACCAATTAAAGAAAACTTCATGTGTAGTGTCTCAAACATGATGAGTATTGTATAGGACCATTTGTGCTAAAGACGAGAGGCATAAATAACCAATTAAAGAAAACTACATGTGTGGTGTCTCAAACATGATGAGTATTGTATAGGGCCATTTGTGCTAAAGATGAGAGGCATAAATAACCAATTCAAGAAAACTACATGAGTGGTGTCTCAAACATGATGAGTATTGTATAGGACCATTTGTGCTAAAGACGAGAGGCATAAATAACCAATTAAAGAAAACTACATGTGGTGTCTCAAACATGATGAGTATTGTATAGGACCATTTGTGCTAAAGACGAGAGACATAAATAACCAATTAAAGAAAACTTCATGTGTAGTGTCTCAAACATGATGAGTATTGTATAGGACCATTTGTGCTAAAGACGAGAGGCATAAATAACCAATTAAAGAAAACTACATGTGTGGTGTCTCAAACATGATGAGTATATAGGGCCATTTGTGCTAAAGACGAGAGGCATAAATAACCAATTAAAGAAAACTTCATGTGTAGTGTCTCAAACATGATGAGTATTGTATAGGGCCATTTGTGCTAAAGACGAGAGACATAAATAACCAATTAAAGAAAACTTCATGTGTAGTGTCTCAAACATGATGAGTATTGTATAGGGGCATTTGTGCTAAAGACGAGCGTTTTTAGAAAACATAAATCCTGTGAAAATTGAAGGAAGCCAATGGAAAGAAAAGTGAAGATATTATTGACAACCGTAATCTAGATGGAAAATGAAGTATAACAAACTCTTAACTAATCATGTGCCACTTTCAAATTGTTAATTTGAGCAACGACCAAGAAATTGATTCATAAAGTCATGTCAAGGATTACTTGCATGTATAGTCACTGAAGTATGGATTATTTATAGACTTAAATTTGATCATATATGTATGTAAAGGTCTTAATTAATGTAGGGCGTGAATGCATGAAAAGCAACTAGCGAAATGTGTGTATCAGTTATAGTCGTAGAGCATCTTGCAAATCATGTCATACATTTCGTCATAAAAGTTGAATATGTTAAGAACATGTACATCTTTTCTATTTCAAGCTGGAAATCATTATTAAAGCGAGTCTTATAGGGTAGCCGTAAGTATGTTTACAAAAGTAAGGCGTTTTAAAGAAAATTCCTATGCTCCACAGTTATTTGGTTATCACAACAATACCGTACACTAAACAAGGTTACTCTGTGTTATCTGATGTCTTCCAAGTATATTTAGGGATACCTTTTTGGAAAAAGATTGGAGAAGTGTTTTAGGTCGCTCTGCTTGTGATTATTTCTTTGTAGCTCAAAGAAAGGTGAATGAGTTCATGTGTAAATTGTTGGTGATTGACAATTGTTTATTGGTGCTTGTTTGGTTGAGAAGTTTAAAGTTACTCTAATGAACAGTTGCTGTTATAGATTCGTCTCACCAAAGTGCATCTACGCTGATCAAATCAACTATCGTCGTTCATTTTAAGGTCACGAAGACATTCCTCCGGTAATTTCAACCGGATTTGGTTATCTGTCATGATCTCTGATTTTGATTGCAAGAATACAGCATATATTGCAAGGAAATGTTATCAATCAATGTTTCCAGAAACTGTGTTATTTCCTTTGAATAAACTTAACTTTGTATTCAAGCAGGCTTTATAAATGTCATCTCCAAATCTTCGTCTTACTTAAAATGCTGTTACATGTTACATTTTTCATGTTGCATGAGGCATTGTATCATATCTACAGTGAACATTACAAGAAATGTACATTCGTTCTAGATTGACAACGATACCAGTGATTATTTCCAAAATTGCTTAGAACTTGCGACTTGTATCGTGAGCGTTCTGTTTTGGAGACTTTCTATATGTGATCTCTCCAGTGGATCTAGCTTTTCTCATTGCCTCGTTCTTCGATTTCTGCCTGTCTCGACAATACTCGACCTAAACTATCATAAACAAAATTAAGTTCATAGCCACGTTAAATATCTTTTTCTAACAGCTGTTGTAATAATGGTTTTTCAAAACAGGCAGCGTCACAAATAGCACCTGCTATGACAGCGCCTTTTTGTTAAAATGCTGCACTTTTCTCTCCACAGGATCTTAGTTCTTATGTGACGACTGATTCCTTATCTATCTGCTAAAAACTGCTTCTCACAAAAATAGGCGTCTTCAGATACTGTTTTCATAAATTGTTGAAACATGTCTAAAATTTGATCAAGTTGTTTTTGAAACTGTCAGAACTGACGCATCGATTTTTAAGACTGACATAAAGAGAGAAAAGTGCGTGTCAGTTTTCAATTTAAATACTAATGATTGAAATTTCTTAAATAAACATGGCAGTTTATTAAACGTTTCTATTTCAGGGAATTTCATTGGTAGACGACCGTCGTCATGGATTTACTTGCAAACGTTTTACATAATTCCCGACACTAGCTAAGTTACATCATTTGGCAGGAAGACGTTTTACAACGAAGACAAATTTAAAAAGTAAGTTTTATCAATAAATATCGACTTAAGAAGAATTATAGGATATACAAACTACTCTAGTTTAACTTTAGAGACTTAGTAAAAACATAAATCGTTAGCCAGCATTGGAATGATAAGCCTCGTCTTAATCTATCGCCATATATTAAAGAAGGCAACTATAAAAAGTACTTTTTGCAATATTTTCCCGATCTTTCTCTTCACGTGCTAAAATCATAAGGTAAACTGACTGGAAAACAAGACCTTACCTCAAGAAACATTTTATCTGTAAGCCATAAAAATGAATTTTCTTTTTCAAAGACAATGTTGAATTAGGTTTCCATGGTGATATAAATAACCTCGATTTATTTTTGACGCTCATTAGTCTTTTTCGGTGAATTAAAAAATTGTTTTTTACTCCACCAACTCTCTTTTTTGGTTGTATTTTTATTCAGTGTGTTTTTAACACTCTATAATGTTTTCCTCTACACTTTAAGCTGTACATAATAATGACAATACCGTTGTGAACATATTTTAGATTCTAAATATTATATGGAAATTGAAGAAGTTAGTGGAAAGAAAAGCAAAGACGTCATGGACAATCTTGATCTTGACGGTAAATAAAGTTACAACAAACTAATGCTCACTGGAAGTTAATCATTCTCAAAAAAACTCTTGTCTAAAACTTAGCACATATTATTTTAGGAAATTGTTAAAGTGATGTAAATTGATGAGAATCCACTTTGTAACAGTAAATGAAAGTCGATTATTCTAATAAAAAGGGTTACCATATTCCTTTAATACACGCCTAGCCTCAATTACGTGTTCCCATCTGGTAAACGCCCCTTTCAAATGCGGTTTTTATTACAGTAATTCCATAAAAATAAGAAAATATAAAATATTTAACAATCCTATAGAAATAAAAGCTTACATTTGTTGCAATACTTTTTAATAATATTATCATTCTTAAATGTTTCATATTTATATTGCTTCAGCTTCTGAAGAAAAGAAATCTTTGCTATATCTACTAAATGATAATGACAGTGATGCTGATATTGGTATAACGTCTTCTACATCAGGACCTAGTAAGTAATGGAATTTTATATGCAAATATTTACACAAACGTAATCTTTATTGCTTTTTGAAATGTTAAGTACAAACAAGAATGAAATGTAACCATTGAGATTCGTTTATATCTTTCTTATTCACATACTTTTGTTAACGGTCAAAAATGTGAGATGTAATGAAGAGTGAATAGAACGTTGTACTGATGTTAGCTACGCTGTGTCTCACTCACAGAAAGAGATCGTTACTGTATAGAAAAAATATATTCAATCAATGACATTGAATTAAGTTATTTATTACTGTAAAAAAATGTATGATGAATGGTGAACAAAGGCTGACACCTCTCTATAATTACTGAAAGCGTTCAAATTTCTCTCGTTTTTTGCATTTGGTTTGTGTTCAGCCATTGTAGTAATGATATTTTATTTACAATGTTCGAAATAAATCAATTATTTGTAATTTACATTCTTGCCACTGAAATACGATTGCTAATTATAAATATCTTTTATCGCTTTCTTTTCTTGAGATGCTTTATTTGACATCGATTAACTTGTTATATGTAAATGTAAACAAATTTTTTATCTTTAATTTTCATATAAAACAGAAAAGATTCAGTGGCAACATGATGGTTGGTATAGCCATTTATTTTTCTAATGACTGTTTACTATTGTGATTTATGATTATTAATACACACTGTGTTAAAATCATATAAATATATAGTTGCTCTTCTTCTGTGTGAATCCTCCAACTTGTTTTGTGTGAGCGTAAACTTAATTTTATTTACATTGTTTGTTTTCATATTGGTGTAGAGAAGAAAGGACGTCGTCGTAAAGGTTGGTATAGTCATATATACAACATATTAATGACGAATATTTTTGTTTATTATGTGTCAACTTACCCTGACATTGATTTGATAAAAATGTGTGATGTGGTCTGCATTGGTCGAACAATGAGCAAAATTACTGTTGCAGCAAGGAATGTACTTCCAATGAGCAACGCTGCGTTCAAAAAAACACTCCACACCAAATGAAATATTCCTTTCATTCCAACAGTAAAAACATTTGTCATTGAAGATGGTAATGTTTGAAGAAATATTTCGCATGAGAACATTCACTATGTTGAGAGAAATATTTATCACATTCGTGTAATTAAAACAAGTTATATCAATTGTAAACAGTATGTTGCGTAAAAGAAACAATGTTGTTTTTAGTTTTTCATTCTGTTTTAGTTTTAGTTTTTCATGTAACTAATGTCATTTTTTCATACTGCAGCCTTGCAGGAAAAAGATGTGCCATTGGAAAAGCATCAACGCTTGAAGAAAGGTAGTATTGTGCGTCATTAGTACGACAATTGAATTAAAGAAATATAAATGAAAAGTTTATTGGATACTCAACATGGATATTCGTTTTTGCATGGCAGGAGAAATGACTTTAGAGATAGTGTTATCTATATTAAAAAAAAGAGACGCGCATTCATTTGTTCTCTTTTGTTTCAAATGTAGAATTGATGGAAAGAAAGATGGAACGATATAAAGAAGGTAAAGGGATCATTTAAAATTTGTTTTTCAAGAAATCAATGTTACATGTAAAAAACAATACTGTAGCGTAGCTACTTTTTCGAAAGTTTTTTTCACGTTCGTGTGTCTTCACTTTTTTACAACTTACTTGCTCTACCTTTCTACACACAAACAGAAAACTTGTGCTACACACCAATGGTTCATTCTGATATAGTACTCGAGTTTTATTGTGTCTATATTTGCAAGAAGAAATAATTACTTTTGCTTTCGATAGTGTATGAAATAAATTTTGTGCATCTTTCCCGGTTTTGTTTGAAAGGTTTTGTTCAACAATTGTTCATAGAATGAGAAAATATCTACTCAACATAAAATCTTTGATTCTAATTTAATACTTTTAAAATACACTTGAGAAAAACGACGATGTTTTTGAGAGCAAACATGTTTCGACATTAACATGTTGCTACTGCACTGACATTGACGTCAAACTTATTTTCACACCTTTTAAAATAAAATCTTTATTTTCGTTTAAAGACCCACTTCCCGAACTTTCCAAATCTATGGTAGTTTATCAATTTTCATGTGCGGGATGTAATTCCCGCTATATTGGTGAAACTTCTCGCCAATTATCTACCAGGATAAAGGAACATACTCACACAGACAAAAACTCCACTATCTACAAACATCTTCAAGCCTCTCCTTCATGTAAAAACAAATTCTCACCTTCCTGTTTTAAAATCATCGACACTGATCAATCCACTTTCTCACTCAAAATCAAGGAAGCTCTACATTAATAAAACTAATCCCGATTTAAATATCCAAGTTCACCACTACAACACTATATTTACTTTATAATAATATTTTTTGTTATAAGTTCTTAATACTTATTTTTAGAACTTATGTTATAAGTTCTTAATACTTAATACTCATTGTAATTAATTTATTCATATCATATTACGTATCATATTACTTAACACTAACCATTCTGCACTGAAGATGGCATTCTGATAATGTCGAAACATGTTTGCTCTCAAAAAAATCGTCGTTTTTCTCAAGTGATTTTTAAAATTGCTGCTAATTAGAAATTATGGTAATATTATCTACGACTTAGCACAAAATTATCATGGAAAGGTTTCCTTGTCGGATTTTCGAAATTATGAAAAGCTTACAACTTAGAAACGCAAGGCTGAACTTGATGTCGCCTTCCTTAAAGATTGCAATTCACTTGGAGTTTTTCCAAAGTTCCTTTGTTTTCCACTGCCTAATGTTGACAATCGAGATACATACCACATTCGAAAGCGTTTACTACGAACTGCGATAACGAAGAGATCTAAAGAACTACGGACACTGGATAGGGACCTGACGAACAAAACAGAAGAAATCAAAAGCTTTCTTAACCCAATTGACTGGCATATCTTGAATAAAGCCCTCAAAAAGAATGTCGACAAACAACTAAACAAAATATTTTCGACACACCGTAAGAAACTAAATAATTTGACCAAAAACAAGGCTATACCATTCACTCATAAAGACACTGTCACCAACCTATCATCTGTAAAGCTAAGTGAAGATGAACTTAACGCTCTAAAAAACGGTCTCAACTTCAGCATCAAACCTCCAAAAATCCACTCCTCCGACATTCTGGAAACATTCGAACGAATCCACTATTCATTAAGAAATAAACTTATCAAACAAGAGTAAAAACGGAACTTGGTCACTTGGCACACACGTACGTAACTTCCTACCATCCAACTCCTAAAGACCTGAAGAAACATAAAATTCTAAGGAACATTCGTAATAACAAAATCATTGTTCTTAAACCTGACAAAGGCAATGGTGTAGTCATTATGGATCGTCAGGTATACATTAACTCTTGCCTCACTATAATTAACAATTTATCTAAGCTCAAACCACTCGATCATGATTGGATTCTCAGGTTAGCAGTCCGGTAGATGCGTGAGTCGGAATCGTATAGATATAAGTAAATGATTTTTATTCGATCTAGTAAATAATAATTTTGTATAAATAACAAATGTGCAGTTTAACAGTATATCAAACGAAAATACATGAACTCACTTCTTTGCCGGTTCCTCACGATCTACATTAATTTCAATACAGGTTAGCCGATATAATAAAGTAATACAATGATGAAGCTTTCGCCCAGGTTAGCATGTGGTAACTGTCAGCTGCACTATAGACTCAAATCCCTTTTATCCCAATGAATATTGCGCGTCAAATTACGCGTCAGTTAAAACATGCATAATTAAACTCTAGTGCTAAATAATTATAAACGTGCAGTTTGTCAGCAATCCATCCTCCCCGATAAGGAAACATTACTTATCAGTTTATTTCTTCTGCTGCTTGAATCACAGCGATCTTGGTGATTGGTCTCGAGTACTCTCCTGAACTTGTTTTGACCTTTACGTTTCGTACCTTTCCATCCTCTCCCGGGTACACTTTTACTATCCGTCCTACTGCCCACTTTCCTCGTACAACATTTCCGTCAGCCACTATTACCACATCATCAACTCGCACATTTCTCTTTTCCTGATTCCATTTTTTCCTGGGGACAAGTAATGGAAATGTGCCGTTATCACTCAAGATTTCTGCTGGGTATCCCCGAATTGAGAAGAATCTTCGCAGAGTCTGGATAAATTCCATCGCTGAACAGTCGGTGGCGATTTCTAGGTGGACTGCTCGAGTATTTAGGCACGTAAAGATTACTCCGTAATGTTTCGTTCTCTTGTTTCTTCCCACTTTGACAGTCAGTGGTCCAAAGTAGTCGCATGCTGTGTAGTGGAACGGTGGGGAATGGGGTTGAAGTCGCTGTGGTGGTAAGTTGGCCATTATCTGTGATTCGGTTTTTGGGTTTGCTGCTCGACATGTGACACACTTTGCCTTGATGCTCTTTGCTAAATCGTGTGCTCAAATGATCCAATACATTCTTCTAATTTTTGCTACTGTAGTTGCCACCCCGTGGTGACCTCTTTTGTGAAACTCTTCCACTATCAATTTGGAGATTCGGTGATTATAGGGCAGGAGAGCAGGATGCTTGGTTTCGTAAGAGACTAATGAGTTATCAATTCTTCCGCCAACTCTAACAGTGCCTTCTTCATCGGTAAAAGGGCTCAGAGATCTCAATTCGTTAGAGTTCACTTGTGCACGAATCTTTGTTTGAGCTCTTTTAATCCAGAATGTCCTACTTCTTTCGAGTTCTGCCGGTGTTAAGCAATCCCCTCTTGCTGTGTCCTTCGCTGTCGACCGTACCTTTGCTAATAATGTTAACTTAGCTCTCAAAACCCAAGCAGTAACTCGTACGAGCTTTCTCCAACTTGAAAACCTTTCACTGTCAATTACGTTTACTGACGTTGTCACTGCACTTACCAATTTTGAACTTCTACATTCCTTTTCAACTTCTTTTGCATCGGGTTTTGCGTTTTCGACCGGCCATTCTTCCTTTGGCAAGTACAGGAATTCGAGATCGTTTTTCCATCTATCCGACAGCTCAACAACACGGAGACCACGGGATACATCATCTGCCACGTTCTGATCCGTTGGGATGTGTCTCCATTGAGCAGGTTGGACGTTGCTTTGTATTTCCCCGACTCGACTTGAAACAAATGGTTTGAGTCGCCTTCCATGGCTGCGGATCCACGCAAGAACAATTGCGCTGTCGGTAAACAAGACACTCTCTTTTAGTGGTATACGGAGTTCATTTTGGATGGTCTTGCATAAACGGCTGGCTAACACGGCTGCTTGTAGTTCTAATCTGGGTATTGTTAGCTCTTTCAATGGGGCGACTTGTAACTTTGCTGCAATAAGCCGTACGTTCACCACTCCAGTAGGTCCTATACTTCTCAAATATGCACATGTTCCAAATGCTTCTCGCGATGCGTCGGCAAAGGCACATAAGATCGGTGGCTCAATCATTACAACGGGACATAGACATCTTTCCAACGATATTTCGTTTAACTGATCCATCTCTTTAAAGTACGTCAACCATTTTGTTTGATCACTTTGCGATAGTTCATGGTCCCAGTCGAGTCCTTGCTGCCACAGTTCCTGCAAACCAATCTTTGCCCTTATAAGGTAAGGTGCTGCAAAGCATATTGGGTCATATATTCTAGCGACTTGGCTTAGGATCTTCCTCTTTGTGAACTTTGGCTGTTGGGTGTGGCATATTTCCACTTTTACTTTATACTTAAGCACATCCTCTTTCTTGTTCCAGGCCAGGCCGAGCACTTTTGACTCTTGTTTTCCATGAGGAACATCAATTTCATTACCATCTTGCTCGTCTTTCCTGTTCAACTCTCCGTTTGATTGCCATCCCTTCACATGAAACCCGCCATTATCAAGGATGCTGTTGATTGCTTTAGTCAACCCGATTGCTTCTTCATTTGTAGCAACTGAATCCAGAATATCGTCCATGTAAGAATTGTCCTTTATAACTTTTGCTGCTCTCGGGTTCTCTGATGCTCCTTCATCTGCAGTTTTCCGCAAGGCAACTTGGGCCATCGCTGGTGCAGGTTTGTCACCGAACGTAAGTACGTTCATAACGAAAGTGTCCGGAGGTCTATCAATCTCTAAATTCCTCTATAGGAATCGGTGTACCTGCTGGTCTTCGACAGGGATAAGGACTCGGTGGTACATCTTTGAGATGTCCGCAGTGAGGGCAACTTTATTTTCCCTAAAACGGAGAATAACTCCGAATAGAGAGTTCAGAAGATCAGGCCCCTTTTGCCAATAATCGTTCAGCTTATGTCCTCGGAACGTAGCGGACGAGTTGAAAACGATACGAACGGGGGTGCTTGTACTGTCAGGTCTTAGAACTGCATGGTGGGAGATGTAATGGACTGGTTCTTTGTATTCTTTAACTTCCTTCTCGGATAACTTTCGAGAAAACCCCATGTTTTCCATTTCTATCATCTTGTTGTTGTACGCTGCTGCTTGCGTAGGAATTTTCAATAATCGACGCTCAGTTGACTCTAGTCGTTTCAATGCCTGGATTCTGTTATCTGGTAAGTCTTGGGGGTTTTTCTTCCATGGATATGGAATCATCCACTGCTTTCCAACCTTTTTTGCAGACTGTTCAATCACTTGCTTTTCTTCTCTTTCGGATTGGCTCAATTTTTCAGCTTCACAGGTGCACGGCTTTACTGTTACTCCCATGGCTTCGGTTGTCCAAAACTCTGATAAATCAACTGCTTCTGGGTACCTCACGTGTAATACAGTTGTTGTTGCATTGTTTGACTGTCCCGTTGATGATCCGAACAGAACCCAACCGAGTGGCGATTCTCTCGCGACCACATGTTCGACTTGCTTTGTTTTACCCGTGTGCATGTATGCATGATCGATTTCAACAAGTAAGTCGACTTGGCCCTTTCCACGCTTCACCTTGTCCTTTGGTAGTCCGAGTTTTTCGATTGCATTCCTGGTATTAATTCCTTGGACATCCTCGCTGATATATGGTATTCCAACTGCAGTGATTGTGTACTTCTTTGATTCTCCGATTCTGCTTACTTGAACTTTGTAGCTCTTTGTGCAGATTGACTCTTCCTCTCCACCTATTTTTATGATGTTAACGGAGATGTCTTTCCCTTTCAGACCGAGACTCTCCGCCGTTTCGCTGCGGATTAGACTTATCTGAGCTCCAGAATCCAGAAGAACGTTGCCGCGCTTGTAGAGACCATTTGATCCGCAAATGTTAGCAGAAATCACTGGTAGGATTGAGTCGTTTAGACCAGTTACTGATGCAACCGTTGCAACTGACTTGTGCAGCAGCGGATGGTGACTGGATGTGCACTGGACTCCATTTTCATACTTGGTGCATTGCTTTCGCCTGTTGCAATTTGCTTGACGATGATCTCTACCCGCTTTCTTCAAACAGCTGAAACACACGTGATTATCTTTCGCAACTTTTATTCACTCATCAACAGACATCGCTGCCAATTTTTGACACTGATCCGGCCAATGATTTGAGTTCTTGCAGAGCCAACACTTGAATCGGTTTTTACTTTCTTCCGTGACTGTACCATTGACATGATTGACTTTGCGTCGAGTGAGAGACGTACCACTCCTGACTGGGGCTGTTGCACGCATGCGCGACTTCATCTCAATTGTCATCCAATTCATCAACGCTTTAAGGGTTGCGGGCTTTTTCTCTCTCTAAGTCTTTCGACCACACTTTTCGATCATCTGGACACATCTTTTGTTCAATTATGGATAGCATGTGGCTGTTATCCATGTCACTCGGAACCCCTACCTCTTTTAACGTGTTGAAACACCGCCTAACCAAATGAACTAAATCACAGAAACGCGCGTCTTCTCCTGTTTCTAGGGCTTTAAATTTAACGATGTCCTGCGTTATGGTGTCTGATACGTACCGAGGGTCCCCGTAAATGGAATCTAAGTATTCCCACGCTGCATCATTATCAGAACCAATACTTTTTATTAATTCAAGTGGTTTCTCTTTTAAACAAGTTCGCAGTAGTGTTATTGAATCTCGTTTTGTATATCTCGATTCAATTGCATGCTTGAAATCCGCACGAACTATTGCATATTCACGTACGTCGCCCGAAAATTTCGATAGCTTTTCCTCATTTGTTGGGCTTATTTCGGTGGGAGCGTTGACAGATTCCTCGGAAATTACCGCGTGGGAACTTTCCGCCACATTGCTCATTTCATCACCTACGCTGGTCGGGTTTTCCTCAATAACTGTTTGGCTCATATTACTTGCGCTGTCACCATTTTGCATTCCGATCATTCCAGACGAATTTTGCTCGTTTTGACTGATGTTAGTTTCTGAAATTTTCACTGAAACCAATTGTTCGATATAATATTTTGCCTCAATATCAAGTTTTAAAAATTCGTTTTGGCACTCATCTAACCAATGCTCTTCTGCTTCAAAAGCTTCATCGTTCATAATCAAATTTGTATAAAGCTCATGTTTCTCTACCACGTTGTCGAACGCTTGTTTTACTTTGACGAGATAGTCGCTTACCTCGTTTGCTGGTCTTTTATTTATACACAGATGATTCAAGGCCTTTCCCAGTCTTGTCAATGTAGACTTGGCTGCTCGGCGTTAGAGCTTAGCAGTCTTCAGTGCCTCGTCTTCGTTACTCATGGTTCAGGTTCTCCACGTGATTAATTTTTTTCTTCAGAAATCGAATGTTGTGGATTCTCAGGTTAGCAGTCCGGTAGATGCGTGAGTCGGAATCGTATAGATATAAGTAAATGATTTTTATTCGATCTAGTAAATAATAATTTTGTATAAATAACAAATGTGCAGTTTAATAGTATATCAAACCAAAATACATGAACTCACTTCTTTGCCGGGTCCTCACGATCTACATTAATTTCAATACAGGTTAGCCGATATAATAAGTAATACAATGATGAAGCTTTCGCCCAGGTTAGCATGTGGTAACTGTCAGCTGCACCACAGAATAGATATATACAGAAGCGCCACTCGATGTCGGAACCTTTGATGTTCGTGTCCGCAGCATCCGGGGAACTTTACACGGCAGCCATGTTTCCAGCCAGATAAATGCAGCCAGATCGCAATATAATATATAGTTCTACGGATGGGTTTTGGCAAATAAACCCAAATATTTCTATAGATTGGTCATTTTTTTAATATTTTTTTGTGTGGATACAGTTAACACATCAAGCTCTCAACAATTTATCATTAATTCGACGTCCGTTTTGATAAATGAGGGTTTATTCGGAATATTTACAAAGTAGATATGTATCTGACGAGATGCGTACTCGGTATATGGTTTGTCGTCAGTTTTAATTTTATCATATAAGAATTCTGCAAAGAATCTTGAAGACATTTGTTCTAACATTTGAAATCTCGGTCGTGGCTGAAACAAGTGACAAATCAAATTACCCTCCAGTTAAGTTTATATATTGCAAACAACGTTTGGCAGGACATTCGAATCACCAAAATTGTCTACCCAGGTGTTTTAAACTATCAGAAGCGATGCTGCATGGCCACTATGAAAGTCATCTGATGCCAAAATATTTTGTATTCATCACAGTTGTGACTTGTGAAGCTTGAATGACTTTTGAGCAAGTTGGAACATAAGCAGCAGCATGTTGGCCTCCACCAATAAAGTGCTTGAATAGCAATTTGTAAAACATATACTGCCATATGGTCCACATGACTTAACTTTGTTATTTCTGCCTTTTTAAATTCAATCATGAGATTATTTATATATTTGACATGGATGCTTATTGATGATGTGAGAAGTGAACGTAAAAAAGCTTCCTGAATGCTTTTGTGAATTGGATTGGTGTTGGCTTGGCACAGTTTCCCCCTGTCAAATGTTTTAAAAAAGTTTTCTGGTGTATCTGTGTTTCACCTTTTGGTAAACATTTTACTGTGTAAAGTATTACGATTTAAATAATGGCATTAAGAGTAACTATAACTGGTTTTTGTCAGAATAAGTTCTGTTTGTGACATGATTACTTACAATAAAAATTTTAATTTACTGAATGAAGTTTATGGATTTTAGCAAAAATTAAATTTTCGAGCCCTTTGTTGCAATAATTTCTCTCTGCTGGTTGATCAATGCGGTGAATCAAACATAATTCTAATCATTTTTCACATACAATTGTTGGTCACAACTCACACGTGAAGTTTGCAGCTCACACAGTTTGAAGTTTGAAGTTTGCAGGTCACAACTCACACGTGAAATTGCTGCTTGCATTTTATGATTTAGTTTAACATGTAACTGATGGAATAAACTAAACTCTGTAAATATTTAAACTTCTCTTCTGTAGATAATTTATTTCTTAGTAAATTTTGTAATTGTTTTTGAACAAAAGCACGCCCCTTGTGGAAATCAACCCCAGTTGACAAGGCCAGCGTGTCAAAATAAAGATTTTCATTCATTTTCATTCATTCATTCAAGTTTAACCAAAGAGGTAAGCTGTAGGAGCTTGACAATATGTTTGACATAATGGTAAAGTTGTTAATTTAATTGTAACAATTTATCAATAACTTCATTCTTTAAAAAATTGTAATTTCATATATTGTTTATTAAAAATAAGACAACAAAAAACATCTTTATTTGTAAGTTAATACAAATTTGACAGACATGATAGCCACAAGAACTCAATATACAATTACAAATAAAAACTTTCAATTACAATTATGCAGACAAGCTACATTGCAAATAAAAAGCCCCGATTCAAGAATCAAATATAAATTAGTTTAGTCCAAATTTTATACCAATAACGTCTTCATCTGAAGAACGTTCTTTACGCACAGTAGGTCGTTTTATCGCTTCTATCAAATCCGTTGACCATTCTAATAGGAAACTCTTTACTAGAAAATACAGAAATGGAATCACACTAAATATATTTATTACTTTTGTCCTAAATTATAAATTCTTAGGGCAACTGCCGTTCAATAAAAGAGACGTTCTAAACATGGATCTCGTATACAATTCAAGGCAAGAAACTATAAAACCCGTAAAATTATATTTGAAGAACGTATTTTACAACAAAACTGTCTCTCACCTCATATGCTTGGTATCCTATCCGATGGCATTAAAAATTTTGTCCATAAGTGAATTTAAATTCGTCAAATTTTTGAAAAACAACTCTTCATAATACGAATCTATATACATTCTGCCCAGTTTATCTGGCTGGAGTAATGGAGGACGCAAAAGATGCGCACTTGAGAACTGGGTACAAGTAGGGGACAGATTTTTCGCTGAGTGGCGCTTCTGTATATATCTATTCTGTGGCTGCACTATAGACTCAAATCCCTTTTATCCCAATGAATATTGCGCGTCAAATTACGCGTCAGTTAAAACATGCATAAATTAAACTCTAGTGCTAAATAATTATAAACGTGCAGTTTGTCAGCAATCCAATGATCCTACAATTTCCCGTGAAGCAAAGTTAGAACGACTGCTACGTAACTTAAAGAAAAAGAACTCTATTAACGAAAAATCATTTCAAGAAATGTACCCTAGAGGTTCACAGCCAGCTCGATTATATGGTTTACCTAAACTTCATAAATTAAACAATATCAATGACATACCTCCTATCAGACCTATAAATTCTTCAATCAATTCGTATAACTACAAATTAGCCAAATACCTCAGCTCTTTACTCCAACCCCTAATACCTAATGACCATTCTGCTAAAGATTCTTTTAGTTTTGTCGATGATTTTTTATCTTTTAACACTAACGCTCCACATGACAAATTCTTTATTTCTTTTGACGTTGAAAGCCTTTTTACCAACATACCACTGACCGAAACCATAGACATTGCTATTGATTTAATTTTTACCAACAACCCTACATTCAAAATGAGCAGAACAGAACTAAAACTATTTTTTAACATCACTACGGCCGAGACTCATTTTTTTATTTAACGGTAAGTACTACGACCAAATTGACGGGGTAAGTATGGGCTCACCCTTGGCACCCATTCTAGCCAACATTTTCATGGGTTTTCACGAACGAAACTGGTTAAATAACTACAGCAACAACAAACCTTTATTTTACCGCAGATACGTTGACGACATTTTTTGTATTTTTAATAACAAAGACGAAGCATTACTCTTTTACGAATACATCAACAAACAACATCAAAGCATAAACTTTACATACGAAACCGAACAAGACAATCAGTTACCCTTTCTTGACATCTTACTAACTAAATCACATGAAAGCTGTATGACCTCTACGTACCACAAACCAACATATACAGGACTACTGACTAACTTTTTTAGTTTCACACCATTAAATTACAAAATTGGACTGATACGAACACTGACCGACAGAGCACGGAAACTCAACAACACAGACATCGGCTTTCAACGTGATTTAAAGAAACTAATATTCACTCTCCAACGTAATTCTTTTCCTTTTCATTTCATCAACAACACTATACAACACTATTTGGACAACAAGAAAAGCACTGACTCATCTAACTCCACAACTAACACTAACGATATACAACAACCTGAAAATAAACGTTATTTCAAACTACCTTACATAGGTGATTACTCACGACACACACAACGCAAACTCACACAAATCATTAAACGCTACTGCACTGACATTGACGTTAAACTTATTTTCACACCTTTTAAAATAAAATCTTTATTTTCGTTTAAAGACCCACTTCCCGAACTTTCCAAATCTATGGTAGTTTATCAATTTTCATGTGCGGGATGTAATTCCCGCTATATTGGTGAAACTTCTCGCCAATTATCTACCAGGATAAAGGAACATACTCACACAGACAAAAACTCCACTATCTACAAACATCTTCAAGCCTCTCCTTCATGTAAAAACAAATTCTCACCTTCCTGTTTTAAAATCATCGACACTGATCAATCCACTTTCTCACTCAAAATCAAGGAAGCTCTACACATTAATAAAACTAATCCCGATTTAAATATCCAAGTTCACCACTACAACATTATATTTACTTTATTATAATATTTTTTGTTATAAGTTCTTAATACTTATTTTTAGAACTTATGTTATAAGTTCTTAATACTTAATACTCATTGTAATTAATTTATTCATATCATATTACGTATCATATTACTAACCATTCTGCACTGAAGATGGCATTCTGATAATGTCGAAACATGTTTGCTCTCAAAAAAATCGTCGTTTTTCTCAAGACTTTTAAAACGAAAACTAATGTTACTTTTTCACGATACAGTTGTAGATGCACTGTGGACGAGAAATCATTTATTTTATAAAGGTAATGAATGAAATAGCTTGCTTATATCAAGTCAAATTTTGACTCTGAGGATGACTATAGCTAAAGTTGTCGAACGTCAGTCAACAACAACAAAAACAGTCCTTCTCAGGACTATACCAACCTGGACGATCTACATTTACAAACATTGGTACAGCCATTTATTGTACTAATGACTGATTTATGATTTTTAATACGCGCTATGTTAATAGCTATACCTAAAGTCATAAATAGGATGACTTGGATAACTTTTTTTACTCATATAGTGGCCGAGTTTTTAGCTACGTCTTCACTTTGGAATTATTATTTTATATTCAGGTTTATGGATTTATTCTATTTAAAAAATTATTTGAATGAATGATTGTAATTTCTTTTATAGAAGCTGTAAAGTCTACCAATGTGGTTGCTCAAGATGAGGTTCATGTCACCCACGAGGATGCAGCAGCAAACCTGGCCCAAGATGATGAGATTATTGCTCAAGATGAGTCGAAAATCAACGGTGCTGGTAATTTATTGCTTCATTTAAATTAAAAACACATTAATTTGTATTGTTTTGTTGATCGGGCCGATTGAAAAATAAAAATTTTGCGGGCTGAAAATTTCATATCATGCGACTTGTAACATGTTTTAATAATTAATCAAATTTAGGGTTGACTGTCAATCTTACAAAATCGAACAAAAATTTGACAAAAGAGATAAATGATGTGCATGGAATCCAAACATTGAAATCGAGGGAATTTTGGTCGCCATCGTCCATTGAAGCACCCTTTCGGCTTCTTTCAAATATCGAAATACCACATAATGGAAATCAGAATGGTGGAACATCTCACGGTACGATAACACTGATTTGTCTGAAGGATGGTGTTTACTCCGCCTTGACATGCGCACATGTTGCTTGTGCCACTGACCACCAGCAGACATTTCTTGACGGAGAGCGAGCGGTATCAATCAGCAAAGCTGTACAAACCTAGAATAAACACGATGAAAACAAGTATGTGTACACACCGTCTAAGAGTGAGTGTAAGGCAGAAATTGGATCTTCTCATCGACACACCTTTGCTCAGTTTGATAGTGAAACAGACATCATGTCTATCAATATTGGCAAGCAAGAAGACTTCAAGAAACTTATTGGTGATGAAATGGAACATGTTGTTTTGAACTCAGATGTTGCAAATGAAGAACTTCAACGAAGGGTTGAAGACAACAAGGAAACTGTTAAAGTCCGCACCGCCACTGGTGTCGAAGGCTTCATCAGTGAATTGAATTATGAGTATTGGTGTAAAAATTCCACACGTCGCATTTTCCAGAATGCCATCAAGATAAAAAGTTGTCAAACATTTCTTGATTCCGGTGACTCTGGTACTCTTGTTTGGTTTTTGGATGAAAAAAAAATTGGCAACCGTTTGCGTATGGAATTTGCAAAATATGTGATGATGGTGACAGCGGTTCAGAAAAAAGTTACATCTGCCTGAATTTGAACCACGGCTTAAAAGCTCTTGGTCTTCAGAATGGTCAATTTTTTATACTTCGATACAATGGTCGTAGTGTATCCAACAGTGCTAAAAGCGGCGATGGTGAAGGAGGTGCAGCTAACAAAAGTAAGATGTTTTGAGTTATTACTTCTTTGCCTTGTGTGAACATTTTGCAGCTAGAAAGGCTTGCTGTATATCAATGAAGAAAGTTTCGTTTTCTGTAAAGTAACGCTAGCCTTTTATATTCTTTTTTAATATTTCAGAAGACTCTAAAGTGACAATGAAATATGGACGCATTAAATATAAACGTCAACAAGGTATTATTTTGAATCATTACATTTTTGATGTCCAGGTGACTATTTTACATCTTGAAAATTAATCCACAATCCTAGATGTTTAAAAAAACACATTGATTATGAGCAACAGCTTTATAGCCTTATATATATTTTACCTATAGCATAAGTATTGCAATATATAAAGGCTATCTTTTGCATAAGACATGCACCTATTGTTATAAGCTGTCGACAGAAAAAAAAGACAAGTGAATATAATGAAAATAATAATCATGTCGATAAGCAACGCCTCATTTTTTTGTTTTACAATTTTTCTTGTCAATGCATGAACTCTTAAATAAAATGTTCTCTCATTGTACAATTTTATGAATTACTATTAAATTCTAATTAATAAGTGTTTGATTCTTTTAAAACCAGAATCGATTTCCCGTGTTCATCAACATCCACCGTCAGAAAAATTAAAAAACATGAAACTCTCGTCAAATGTTAATGGTATTTAATGATTATGATTTATCATTATCTTAGACTTGAAAACAGTGCACACTCAGAACAACTAAAAATTATGTAAATTTGTATTGATAGAAAAGAATCCAGTCACATCAACTGGTGCTCGGTTGACATCGGAAATTACAGGTAAAATCGACACTTTATTTACCATGGATTGCATGTTTAACCGTTGATATTAATTTTATGCAACTATCTGAGGATATATAGGTACCGATGACTTTCAATTCTTCAAAAACAAATTTCTCACCGACGATTTCAAAATGAGCAATAACGTGCATAAGAAATTGAAAAGGTAAATCTTACTATTTGTGTTTTTTTGATATTCCTTCAATTCCAGTTGAGTTTTTAGCCATGCGAAGATATTTTTTTGCTTTATTGTTCAATCTTTCCATGATTTTTCCACATTTGCAGCTTTGATTGGTTTTGTGGAAAATGTGGAACAGCGGGTCCAACTGACCAGATGCCATATCTCCATGGTCGTTGATTACGCTAACGGAATAACTGATCATAATATGAAACAAGAAATCAACAAGAAACTTGGTTGGCAAGCTTCAAAGTACATCGAATTCCGACCAAACGACCCGTCAAAGGTGTGGAAGGTTCGACCTCTATACAACAAGCTCAAAGTGGAACGCGATGATATTCCTTACATGCGATCCAGTGGCACGTTGACAATGTTCCGCATGAAAGATGGAAAACAATACGCGTTGAGCTGTTTCCACGTTGGTTATGAAATTGGCCGGATACGGAACGATGACGTTAACCCGTTTTTGGCAATTCACGATGAAATTGAAGTAAACAGAAATGCCACTCAGCGATTTATGGAAGAAAATAAATATTATCTCTCAGCTGATGACGAAGTTGTTGGTAATTTTTCCCATTTTGATTTTGGATCTGAAACTGATATCATGGCCATCAAAGTTGATGAAGTTAAAATGGAAAATATTTCAGATGAAATGGAGAACTATTCTCATGACGTATTGCCGAGGCTTTTTCTTAGAAAGCATCGTGGTGAAAAAAGCATTGTTCAAAAAGCTCAAGAAATTTTTGGAAACATTGAGGATCTAATGTTTAATTTTGATGACGACGACGGAAGACCCGTATTTTGTAACGCAGTGTTGGTAAAAAGTGATGTTGAGTTTCTAATGGACGGAGATTCAGGATCTCTTGTGTATTTTTGTGATGATATAAACAAGAAAAAACGACCTTTTGCATATGGTGTTGCTGAATTGAGCGGGGAAGACCAAAACGGAAAAGTGGAGACGTTCTACATTTGCCTGAGATTAAAAGATGCTTTGGAAAAATTGGAACTTATGGAATAAAAGTCGTAAAATTGAATGAATTCCTTTGATTGTTTAATATCCCAATTTCTTTCCCAAGCAATTTTTCCTACAAAATAATTACCTTCTATGTAACCGTATGCATTAGTTTGAACTTAATCATTAATTTAACATTTATCCATTTATTTAATTTTTGTTGAACTATCCAAGTTTAATTATAATGAACGAATTAAAGAACCAATTCAAAAGAACGATTGTCAATAAAAACGTACATTTAATTTGATTTTAACGTAATAATTTATATTCCCTAAAGTTCATATTACTTATCAATAATGTAATAATCCAATAGTTCAATAATTATGAATATGTAACTTAATTGAGCAAAAAACAAGCTGTAACTAACCATATATCACATAAATGAAAACCTTACATATCTTACCGCTGACGTTCTGATTTCTTTTCTCATAAATGAAACGAGGATAATAGAAACAGTTGAAAACAACCCATCCGTTTTTCTTCGTAAATAATTTTAGTGTACTTAACGATTGAATTGTCGTTACTATACATGTTATTTGTATATTTCATAATTATAAATGAACCAAGTTGTATGATTTTTGGTTTTTGTTCGATCATTGATAAGCAAAACGTTGTCACTATACATGAATAATAAAGAATAACTTTTTTCCAGTTTTTATTAACTTTTGGTTAGCAATATGATTTAGGTCTCCTGGCAATAACTATCATGTTAATGCGTACAAGTTCTTTAACAAATCAACTTTGGCAAAAACCTGGTGAGTGTCGTATGTATCCAAAAATAACAGAAATGTTAGTAAATTGTCTAAACCTAATTCCTTCTTGAAAACTTATGTTCAACCTTAATTTCAACTCTCGCAAGAATCAAAATGCAACATTACAGAATCACTGCCTGGGTTGTCATTTGTCAAACAAAAGAGACACTACTTAATAATTATACATAGTTAATGCATAATTGAGGTTTGTGAACAAATAACTGCCATGACTTAGCTAAGGTATTTAGAAATCAGGCAGAACACATTCGTAACTTCGTTCGTTAAAGTCTGTTTGAAGTAGCTAACTTATGTAACGTCTGAGTTCGATATTTACATGTAGTTAGTGTTTGATATTTCCAATGATTATAGAATCGTTCATGTTAAACAAAAACATCTCTACTTGATGAACAGAAGATCAAAGGCTACCATTTTGGATAATTTTAGATTGAAAATTACCTGGAATTTTCAGCAATTAAAATGTATTTCCTAACAAATGTAGCTCTTTCTCAAAATCAAGTTTATTATTGTATTCCTATAATTGCAAGAGAGGGGAGGGAGGAGCTATTTTAGCCAATTAGAAAGTAGCTATTATTAATTGAGTAAATTAAGAGTATATAGCAGGATTTAAGGTTATCACTGAAGAGTGAAGTCCTTCTAGTTATATAGATTTTTAAAGAAATTGCTGATTTTTCGTCGAAAACCATGACGTTTTCACATTCACAGTTTTTCTTGGCTTTGTGGCAAATATGGCATAGCCTATCCGAACAAAGACATGCCTTATCTTCATTTGTACCTCAAAGTGGACAAAGAAATGAAAAAGAATGATTTGAAACAAGAAATCAATAAGATATTTGATGGCGATGCTTCAGAATACATTGAATTACGTTTTGTCAACCCATCGGACGAAGTAATAATTCGGCCACTATCCAACATCATGGTTCACTCAAAGCGCGATGATAAGCCTAACGAAGAATCCCGTGGCACGTTGACTCTGTTCAACTGTAAAGATGGAAAATATTACGCGTTGACTTGTCTTCATGTTGGATATGGAAAAGTTCCGAAAGGTGCCGATCAATTCTTTTACATTCGAGACAAAATTGAAAATGATAAATTGGCATTTGAGAAACTTCTACTAAAAAACAAGTACTCTTATACTCATAAAAACAGCATAAAAATACCTCTTGGCGAGCTATTTCATTACTCATTTGATCTTGAAACCGACATCATGGCAATCTTAATTGATGACAAAGAAAATGAATTTACTGCGTCTGAAGTAGAGATGCCGAGTTCTTTCGATGCTGTGTTTGATAATTTGTTATCGAAGGAAAATGAAAAAGTTTATAAAGTTGACGACGAGTTTGGCTTGAACGTCATTGCTGACCTCAGTCGTAGCGTTTTTGACAACAAAAAAGAAGTGTTTCGTAGTGTAGTGGCAGTAAAGAGTGATAACGAATTCCTCCGGCCTGGAGATTCTGGTTGCCTAGTGTATTATTATGATGAAAACAACAAAAAGATACCATTTGCGTATGGAGTTGCTGCAGTGACCGAGAAAAACGAGACGTATTTTGTTTGCATGAGATTAGAAGATGGTTTAGAAAAGCTGTGGCTAATATAAAGGTACAGAATAAAAAATATTCAAGTTTTACAGACACCAGTTTCTTAGTAAATTAATTGAGTACTTTCATTATTTCATATTCATTTCAATGCTTGGTTTAATAGTTATATTTTTTATAATATAAATATGTCAAATACGACTATACGACTAGGCTCTCTATTATATCGTTAGCGCGTGCTAATTGAAGTGGATTTTGATTGTGCAAGAAAATGACTCGAGGCATTTGACACTAACCTGTCTCCTAAGAATTGGTGAAATTTCATGGGACCTTTGTTTGTTTCAGCTTCGAAATCCTGAAAAACATCGCATAAGTTAACCATTATTGTAATTTGTTTGTGTAACCTTGTGACATCAAGAGCAACAAAATTAAACAAACCTTAGTAAGTTTTTTGTAAATTTATCGAAACGTGGGGTGATGTCATTGGTCATTATAAATAATCATTGTTGTTGAGTGATAAATGTTTTTCTTTCATGATTTCCTAATCGATTTCTTAGATTTCAACTTCTTCTTTTAAGGAGATTTATTTGAATTGAGTGACAACTTTGTTTACGTAAAATTTGGCGAAGGATATCGTTTCGGTGGTTTCGATTTGAGCTTCTTCCTTTTTGCCGAACCTACTACTTATGAAAGAAATAAAGGCGGGCGGGATGGAGGACATGCGTCATCTTATTAAAATTGGAGAAGAAAATCCTGACATCAACTGAAGATAAATAAGGTAATGTTGGTGAGTCTAAAGTGGACTGGGGACTAGTAACATGAATGTTAATTTTTATAAATGGAAACATCGTTGTTAGTAGAAATATAATAAATATTTACGAAATGTACTTAAATGAAAATAGTTTTATAACCATTTTTTAATTTAAACAAACGAGAAATATCATTTTATGTTGCGAATTTTTTAAAGGTTTTGTTATTTGTGGATTTTACAATGATTCTCAGGGTTAGTAATTTTTGCCGTATTGGTTATAACGTTATGACTTACATATTTATTTCCTATGAATGTTTTATGCAGTGCGGTGTTTGAAATTAAATGAAGATATGATCGTCGCACTTTGCTGGACAATTTAAGCAATCGTCTCAGGACCTGAAAAAAATCAGGTGACTCAACGGGTGACTTTGCTGGACTTAAATTGTCCAGCAAAGTGCGAAGATCATATCTTCATTTAATATTTATTTCCTCTCCAGGACTGGCTCCTTTCCTGGTTTTGTATGAAGGAAAGCTTGAACAAAGGGAGAGTAAAAGGAAGTTATCATGTGACATGATTAATGCACAGATAAAATGAAAAATATCATGAGAATTGTGTGATATTCGCTGGTATTGGTAATTTTAAAAGTTTTGACATCAGAAAGGTGTTACCAAGTGTCATTTGAATGCAATAGTTTCAGTCTCCTTAAAATCATTTATTTATCGCAACATTATTGTCCACTAAAAATGGTGACTGTATGTCATATGATGTTTTTCATGTCTATTTCAGGATATATTTCTGAAAAAGAATTGGAGAAGTGTTTTATGATGCTCTGTTTGTGATTATATCTTTAAAGCTCAAGGAAAGGTGAATGGTTTATATGTAAATTGTTGGTGATTGACATCATACACTTGTGATGTATTGAAGACTATTTATATAGTTGATCAGTTTTAAGCATGTATCATGTGCCAATATATATTTGTCAAGCAAAAACTGCACTTTACTTTCTTAAATCAAGTATTTGCTAATTTCAGGTCAGTTTTCCTGAAGACATTCCTGTCATTGCAACATGATTTGCCTATTTCAACTGTATGTTTTGTCATATTTCGTCATTGTTTATGTTGTTAAAAATGAAGGTTTGTGTTTAAATTTATCAATGATGAACTGATATTGCATCAATGTTTTTTTGTGGGGCAACTGTCATTGATTAAAACAGACTTTTGTCAGTTTTTGAATATGAATGCACTGCTCATGTATGTACTGTCTTCACTCTACTAAAGGCATGATATTCTTTTGTGATAAACTAGGCTGAAAGGCCATTTTACACAGGTCATGAATCTCAGGATGTGAAATTGTGAATTAAGGTGGAAAAGTGAATCGCAATTTTTGTTAAAAGTTTGTTGAACTATCACCTTGAAATGAGAAACATACCCTCTTTCTTGTTTCTGGTATGTTGTTACCTATCATATCTTGCTGGACGATAGTCATAATACAGGATTGATGTAACTAAAAACAAACATTTCAAAATTGACAAAGTAGAACGTTTATCATAGTTCTTAAATGTTCATGAAAGCATGAAAATATTTTCAAACTCCTAAACACTTCATGTTACGTTTGGTTAGTTATTATGTTGTTTGTCCATCGCAAGCGATGATGACCTTGACCAGTTAACTCAAATACTAGAAGATTGGGTACGGTGAGTTCTGAGGTGGCTAATGAGTCCAATCTTGGCACGGAATGTTCTTGAACACGAAGGGCAAACCAGAGATGCATCTGATGTTGAAGCACTGGCTGCTCTTGATTTCCGCAGCTCACGTTTCTGTTTGGCATCCACAGTCCGCCTTTCTTCTGATGCTTGACAGCCCTTAAAGATGAGATCGCGCCAGGTTGATCGATTCCCTGCAAGTTTGTCCCATGTTGCGGTGTTGATGTTAAAGGACTTCAGTGAGGTCTTTAATGTGTCCTTGAACCGCTTCTTCTGGCCTCCGACTGATCTTTTGCCGTTGGAGAGCTCACCATATAGCAGTTGCTTAGGTATCCGCTCATCTGGCATGCGAGCAATGTGGCCCGCCCATCGGATCTGTGCTCTCATCAGCAAGGTGTAGATGGATGGCTGGTTGGATCGAGAGAGGACATCTGTGTCTGGCACCTTGTCTTGCCACTTGATTCTCAATATCCGACGGAGACAGGTTGTGTGGAAGTGGAAAATGGTTTCCAGTTCTAAAAATCATAAAAAAGCCACGACTTCTTACAGTTTTCATCCAGTAGATCTAAATAAGAAGTTAAGATGAAAACAATAAAATTAAAATTGTAACGTGTTGATGAGATTTAAAAATTTAGGTAAAATG